GGTTCTTGAGCCAGGTTTGCGAGCCCTGATTCAACCCAATTTCGCAGGCTGTCCGAGCATGGCTTCACGTGGCGTCCGTTTCAACCTCCAGCGCCTCTTACCCGCGCCTCCGTCCGTCGCGCCTCAGGTCAATCGCCTGGGTGTGCTCGGCGGGCGGCAGAGACATAGTCACATGCGGGCCGTGCTCCCGTGCCTCCCGCCCTAATTGTATGAGACCGCGTGTCCGCCGCATTTGCGGGTCGCGCGCTGGTCCTGTCGCGCTCACTTGTCCTCGCACTGTCGCTCATCCTTCTTTTTCTTTTCTCTCGCTCTCTCTTCTGCTTCTCTGCTCTCTTCTGCTTCTCTGCTGCCTGGCTCTCTCGCTCGCGTCGCGGTATTTCGTCTCCTTATTTCTCTCCCGGTCCTCGTCTTCCCCTTGCCTTCCCTCTCTCTTCTTCTTCTCGCGACCTTTCTCTGCGCCAAGAGTGGGGCTGGCGTGATCACTCAAAATCTCTCCATTGTGGCCGTACGCAGATCGGGGATCTCATTCACTCGGTCGGATTGGTGCTTTTTTTTTTCGTTCGGCCTCGTTGGCGGCCGTGGACTGGTCGTGTGGCGACGGGTCCGACCGAGGCTGGTCGGTGTATCTCGCGCTCATGCACTCTCCCTGGGGGTGGCGGGCTAGTGCGGGGGCGGGCCCGCGTCCGCTGTTGCTACCGATCGGCCGCCCATTCGCTGCATCAAAAAGCGCCGGCGATCTTACGCAGGGTCATTGTGTAATTTTGTGCGTTTTTCTTCTTTCTCGTGAGCTTTCTTTCTGTGTCCTCTCCTCGCTCTCCCTTACTTCCTTTTCTTGGCTCGCCGTGTCCCTTCCCTCTTTTCGTACGTCCAGCTTATACGGCTCCCCCAGCCCCTCTCTCCTGTCCTGTCTGTCTTCGTTGTCTCTTGTCTCTCTGTCTCTCATGTCTCTCTCTCTCTCTCTCTCTCTCTTGTCTCTCTCTCTTCTGCTCTCTCTCTCTCTCTCTCTTCTTTCTCGCTCCTTCTTCTCTCGTCTCTCTCTTTCTCTCGTCTCTCACCCTCTCCTTTTCTCTGTCAAGTGGATCCGATCGCGCTGGTTAAAGGATTCTATTCAGTTGATATCACAAGCTGGGGACGGTTATGGGTTGGAAAAGCGGGCGACAGGTCAGGGGCGCATCAAATCGATCAACTCATCAATAATATATAAAGGTGGTACGCGGGTTGTAGTGAGCTCAAACTCTCAGCCGAGGTTTCAGTCAAAGGACGGGGAGGGTCGGGCCTGGTTGGGCCGGTGGATCTAGTTTAAGCGGACCGATGCAGATTACGTTGTCTTCGTCATCGCAGGCTCTGATGGAACACCCCCCACGAGAATTATGCAAAAACGAATAGTGTATGGGTGTTGGTAACTCGGGGAGGAATTGGGATAGAAAAGCAGGAGCTGGGTGAGGGGCAGGGAGTGAGGGGGAAGGAGAGAGAGCGAGACTGGAGCAGACCCCCACACACATAGAGAGAGACAGGAGCAGGTATACAGGATCGCAGGGAGAGGGGAGCAGGGTGAAGGACGGAGAGAGCGGCAGCAGCACTGAGAGGGAAAGAGAAAGGGAGCAGGGAGATAGCGAGAGGCGCGCGAACGAGCGAGTGTTATTGTTCTATTGCATTCGGATTGGAGTTTCGATCATGTATCAGCGACACGAACTGGAAATTGTTTTGTTTGTGCGAGTCGCGTGTTCTGCCATTGTTCCTTGTTAATGAGCACATCGTTATGCACTAGTGCGAGCTAATTGAGTCCTCAGAGCTCGTTCGCAGACAACGCCACCCGGGACGTTTAACTGGTTTAAGTGTTCCGATAGTTATGCCATCGCATGTTTGCCGTCACGAAACTTCTGGCTAGCGACAATAGGCGTGTACCTGCGACGTTGATGGGAAGTCGACCGACAACTACGCGCTTAACTAAATATTTTGCTTTTGCTTGCGGCCCCCTGGAGGGGACGGAACGCATCGCTCTGTGTCATATAGAATCGCTAACTCATCTTCTGTTTAAACAGCGAAATAAGTGTGCGAGCACGGAAACGATGACTTTGACATGCGTTGAACCCGAATTGCGGGTATCTGTAGATGTAATGAGGTCTAAAACTGGAACGATGTTTTAACGGCTGTTATTGCTTCTTCCTCGGTTATACTGTTTCGTGCGAGATTGCGTCTATGATATTGTACATGCCCCGATTAGCGAATGCCCGTGTTTCCAAGGTTCGTATGTTGCTCTCTACCCAATTTTTAATTAGGTGTCGCGCGCGCGTGTATGCGAGCATAATAACACACGAACTACGTTACGGACCCAGTTCGATATAGGTTCGGTTCCATGTTCATGGGATAATATATATGCACACACGCACGCACGCACGCACGCACGTTTATCACCGCACATGTTACAGTCGCGATCATTGTGTCATCATCGGGGTGGCCTGAAATCTGAGTAATGAAACTGTCGCAGATGAAGAAACGTGCAGCGCTCTGGGTTGCTGGGCCATGCTGCCCTCTGGTTTTTAGTCCGCATATACATATATACCGGCCATGTAAGTTCTGCAAGACTAGCCTGATTAACGCCAACGTACGCGGGCAGCTGGCACTTCGTTATAACTAAGTGTGTGCAACTGTCTGAAAGATTTATTCTGTAATATCTTGCCGAATGTGATCCGCGCGGCGCAGGACGCAAGAACGTAGTTAGATAAATAATAAACACGATGAGGGTTAGGCCGGCGACACTGGTAGTTGATTTACTGTAGACGTACAAGCGACCCCATGTAGGTATAGTACCCCGGCTGTCCGAATTTAATTAATCTCAAGTGATTTTTCTCGCAACATGGCTGCCGTTTCCAGATTATTTATTGAAGGTGGGGGAGAGGTGCGGTCGAAAATCGGCTGATTAAACTTATAAATAAGTGATGTGCGCGCGCGGTCTGGTAGAGTGAGATAAAGTGCTGTGATTAGACAGTGATACGTTTTTGCAATCTTTCTAGCGGCTCGGGAGTAAGTGGTTTTTCTCGGCGGGCAAAACGTCGGCACTGCTGCACGGGCGCGCCGCTGTCATGTCGCCCGCGACGTGCTCTCAGCTCTCAGGTTAAAGTCGCTCATCGGCGTCCATTAACCGAAATTAAGTTCATTTTGCGTTTTTTTTTTCGGCGCGCGCGGACTCGACTTTGCGAGTGGCCGGTAAATAATGCATCGTTTGAAAAAGGAAATGTTCCCGCTATATGTCATCAGTAACCAGCTGCTAACGCAACACCACGCGCGCGCGCGGGGCCCCATCCACCTGCCGCTCGTACTATTCAATCGCTCTGGCCATCACCCGATGTTCATTTGCTCAGTCGGATCCCTTTTCCCGCTCTGTAACGTTTCCGTCGTTCAAACATTATTGGCTTTAGTCGCACGGTGGGATTTTAGCATAATGTGCCGGTTATTTTTCAGGCATGATTATCCGCGCACACTGAGCAGGCATTTTGTGTCCACTTTGCCGGGCATTGCTATTCATCGGCACAGCGCCATTGTCCACTCGGCGAGCGCTCGGCAAACACATCCTTCAGCGCAAATGCACCGGAATTATCGCAAATCGTTCTGCGTCTTTTGTGCGATAAAGGAAATCAAAAATAGTGAAAATATTGTTTTTTCAGCGGCCAAATTGGTCAGAAATATGCCGGGCATCGTCGGTCGGACGGCTAAGCGTATGATTGCGCTCCTCGTCGCGTTTGTTTTGTCGGTTATTCGTAAACTTCTGCGTTAGGAAATGCTTTCAGCGGTCGCTGGACAATGCGGCCATTGTCCGGCTGCCATTGTCGATCTGTGACTCTGGCCGGGCCGTGAATGCTGTGCGCACACCACAATTCTGTCAGATTCCACTGCCCCCTTTGTCGCACAACTTTTTGGCGGCATTCGCGAAGAATTCACCTTTTCAGCGGAATTGAATGAAAACGGGTAATTTCTGCTCGTTTATATTGTATTTCACAGCTGCGTCGGCCAATTCGCAAACAATGAGACGATAAAGCTTCGCATTGACCATCAAGTGAACAGGATTGTGCTTTTGTGAGGGGGAACGCAGCTTTTCGGAGCAAATTATTTCACAAAATTTAAATCATTCAGCTTTTTGACGTAAAGATTGTTCAAATTTGGGGCGTATTTGAAAGGTATTTTCGGCGCAAATAGCCGTGCCGTTGACTGATAGAGCCATTTATCGAACGAAAAGTTGTTGGCACGACAATGCGCATGCCAAACCCATCTGTGAATTAACCTGTAGCTATTCGTCCGTAAGTGTGCAATAAAATATGCATGGTATTTGTCAATAGATTCGTGAGCATGTCTCACTGAAATTTCCAAACAAAATAGGACACTTTACATTGCTTGCATGTTTTTACGGCGGGGGCAGGGATCATGTAATTGTTCGTGTAATTGCAAGGGGTTTGAATGTCTGTTTGATTATATGAATATAAACGATATGAGGTGTCAGCTGGTTCTATTCGGAGCTTCTGTGAATATTTTTACAATATAGATATCGTTTTAAAATGTAAGCGGCATAACCGATTTCATTTGCACCCTATAGACTTATATTATCCTCTATTATTTATTATATAGAAGGGTGAGCACATTGTTTATTTTAATTGTGTTATTTATCATATATATATATATATAACACACGCGCGTGCGTGCGAGCGTATGTGTGTGTGAGGCTTCACAACAACAGAATGTGAACATTTTCTGTCGTTGTGAAGCCTGACAGGATATATATATACCTATACATGTGTGTGTGTGGTGTGTGTGTGTGTGTGTGGTGTGTGTGTGTGTGTGTGCGTGTGCGTGTGGCGTGCGTGTGCGTGTGCGTGTGCGTGTGCGTGCGCGTGCGCGTGCGTGTGTGTGTATTCTTTTCATTTATTCATTTTGACATATTGAGAATGCAATAGGATGCATTTGGACAATGTCATAATATGATGCAATTTTCATTATTTTCATTGTAGAGTGACATCCCTCGTACACCAGAAGAGGCTGCTACTCGCCTTATGATGGTCATGGAAAACTATGTATTGCTGAACAGCGAAATGCACGACATCGCAAGAAAGGGTAGGTAGAGCTGTAGGGTTGCTATAAAGCCTTCTTTCTTAGCATCTCTCACCCACCTTCTCTACCTTCAGCCTTCAACCCCCTCCCCCATCTTCTTTTCTAACCCGCTTCACCTAACACCTGCTTTCCTAACACCCTTCACTCGGCTGTCTATTCTTGTGAATACTTATAAAAGCCAGCTGTGTACTGCGCATTATGTCACTTATTTTTCTATTTCCGTTTGTGTGCGTATTTTCCTATCTCAGCTGCGCATTTTCTTTGATCTCTGCTAACTTTAGGCGTCAGTAGGTACCCATACGCTCGCCTCCATTATGTTGGAATGATAGGTATTTCCTACATTGGATAATGGATTGTTCTAAAGTAGCGTTCGATTGGCCACATTTTTTAGAGAAAATCTGCTTGCTTTGTCGTACGTGTTGCCGTTGCGATGGATTGTTGCAAGTAGGGCCACCCTGTTCTATCTGCGTCGTGCCGCTCTGGCACTACCTTTGTGTCGGTTTGATGAGCGACTTTTCCACATTGCTGGGAAATTGTTGGGCAATCGTTGGCATTGTGCGCAAATATGTCTTTTTCCCGATTGCTCGTCATTGCGTTATTGCTCTGTCACACAGCTACTATCTTATTGGTGGCAGGTTCAGAAAGATTTTATCTGCTAGTTATTCGGCCATTGCGACATTTTTATTGCTTTTAGAAAAATGTCGTAATATTACGATTCGCATATTATGGAATTTCGACCATTAATTTTTTTAATCTAATCTATTTAGAACATTGCTTTCTATATTGCTGTGCGCGAGTGGTGCCGTCTGTTTGATAAAATGCGAACTACCGCAGTGGCGCCGTTTATTAAGCCTCTGTGTTCCAACAGGCAATCTAAAGCGATTCTATTAAAGCGAGTGTTATATCATACGCAACTCACTATCGCGGTTTATGAGGTTACTACCAACAGTTAGACCTTTCTAACTGCCTTCCATAAACTATATAATGGCCTCCTGTGTCCATAAGAGCTGATCGGCAATCTATAATGCATACATGAAGGACAGCGTAGCAAATCTAAATGATATCCTGTCAATTCACAAGCGCGTCATTGTGGAGCTTAAACAAACGACCATCAGTGCAGGCATGTAACAAGTGAGCAGCGCGCGCTGATGAAGCGTCTGCTTGTTACACAAACCAGTGCGGCGCAGCAGTTTATGGTCACAGTTTACGACATTCATAATGACAGCCTGACCGTGGTCTTGCAGCGTGTTCCGTACGCGTCACCTAGTTATGACCACTAAGTATAGAGTGAGCGAACTAAGGGGGTAGAATAGCCAAGTATAGAACCTACTGGCAAGTTGACACCGAACGCACTTTTGTAACGTTTCCTGCGGTAATTAAGATACGGCGATTTTATGGTTTATTTTGACAAAGCCCATTTGCAAAGAAGAATGCGGGCAAACGTCGAGGGGGAAGGCAAGGCAGGGTGGAGCCTGAACCCGATGATATTGTGTAATTATGTCGTGAGGCGCAAATAATGTAGCAGAGGGAGGGCTAGGATGCAGTAGAGGGGTCGGATTCGTTCAAAGGCCGGTGAAAGAACCAACTAGTTACCTGCACCCCCACGCCAGCCTAGTATCGCGTACGACAATGAATGTGAGTTTTTGTTGTTTATCTTGATGGGAGGAGCTACGTACAGATAATTACAACTACATACACAGGAGGGGATGTCACAGCTACGTGCATACTAGATAATTACAACTACATACATAGCATATGATGTCATAGCTACGTATACATACTAGATAATTACAACTACATACATGGCAGATGATGTCATAGCTACGTACATACTAGATAATTACAACTACATACATAGCAGATGAT